TTCACAACCAGCTGAGCTGGTATGTTTGGTTTCAAACACTTGTGTGACTAGCTTTGTTTTTTTTTTATATTTTTGAAATTCATATTTGCTTCTCAACCACTCATTAATAAGAACCCTCTCTCCCTCACCCCATTGTTGTTTCATACCTTTTTTGAAAAGTAAAAAATAAATTTAATGAAGAAGTAATGTCGATCTACTTTAGCACGTTTGATTTTTTGCTTTTTAATTAGTTACTTGATTGACATGTCACTCTCTTTCGTAGTTTCATCCTAATAATAATGGGACAGAGAGAGTAGTATTGTAATGAGCAATATGATTACAAACAATGTTTATGAACATATATTACAAATTTGAAAACATTTTTGTAGATAACGCGTTTTTCAGTTTTTAGGATTTTCTTGCATAACAAGAACTTTAAACAATGTAATTTCTCATAATCTAGTATGTTTACACACTTATTCGATTACATAAACTTCTCGTGATCTAGTATTTTCTTCTCTGCATTGCACACATATGTTCGCTTGAATTTATTAACATTATATTCTTAAAATATAGATGGTTTTTAATTCATTTCAAACATTTGGATTTGATTTTAACTTGAACTTAAATAAGTAAGGAAAAAAGATTATGTTTAATGTTGTAAATTAAAGCTACACAAAATTGCCTAACCGGCATAACTTGGTCCACCCAACTCAATATGTTGATTTTTTATCGCTAGTGATGGTACCATGGATTCTTTACTTTTCATCTCTCATTCCCAACTCGATTTTTTATCGCTAGGATGGAATACCATGGATTCTTGCCTAACCGGCATAACTTGGTCCACCCAACTCAATATGTTGATTTTAGATGGAGTTTAATCCAACTACGGGAGCTAAATCTACTAAGATATCAAAATATGGCAGCATAAGGCAGTATTATTATTATTCAGAAGAATGATTTACCGATCCCCTCACAGGGTATTTACAGGAAGTATTTATAGACTTTAGTAGTTAGTATCCTAGAAGGAAACTACCACATTAAATGCTATTAATTGTACATTAGTCCGAATGGAACTCCTTTAGCGTCTTGGCCACTGTGCAATGATTATCTCCTTCAAGTTTATGTCTCCTGTTGAGTCATGCCTGCTGCCAAATAGCTATGCTCAAATGATAGCCCGTCACGTAAACCCTAGGAATATCCCAACCTCACCGGAACTCCGCCCAGGCTCGAGGTCTACTGTCCAGCCCGGCCTGGCTGTGGGCTCCTATTGTGAGCCTGATCCTTAATCGGGCCTAGCGGCTTATCTAATATGAATTCGTTCAGGGCTTGATCCCATTTATAGGCTAATCCCGTTAAGGGCTGATCACGTAATGGGCCGGACCACGCAATTGGGCCATGGAACTATCCTTATTGGGTTATTTTGAGCATAAGATTAATACTACTATGGAACTAGCTTTGGGGTACACCCTAATTTGTGAATTATGACTAAAAACTTGATATCCTATGCATATAATTTGAGATTTGATTATGATTTAGATATTTGAGGAAGTATTTGAGACTGAGATCAAATCATTTTTTATTGAACTATAAACAACGATTTCATAACTGTGACTTGTGAGTGTCCCGCGAAGAAATCCGAGGTGCCACTGGGTTAGGTTTTCTACTTCATTTGATTTGAATTCTTTGAGACTTATGAGTGATTCGATAGACATCCCGGACACTAGGATGTAATCATTCTTTTCTTTTGTGACGGTAGTAGTAGTTACTAATTTGTTTTGTGAGGATTTATTCTTGTTTGTGAGTAGTTAGTAGAAACATATTGTGACTGCTTAGACTTCTTACTACTCAGAGATCTTGAAAACCCTTTTAGAGTGTGTGCACACTTACGGTAGATGTCTAGCTTTCATTTATTTGTGATCTATGGAATCTGCAATTACGGGGTGAGTTGTGGGGGCTGCAGTGACCCACGTACTCACTAGGTTCGAGAAATCTCGAGTTCTGCCTATCTCTTGTAAATTAATTGAGATTTGAGAAACTATTTGATTGTGTTATATACCTGAGAATGAACATGTTTTCAATAAAGTAGTTTACTGCTTCGTTATTATATTAATAATTTTAAAGTTCATGAGTATGAGTTGATTATAAATGCTTTGACCTAGGTTATGAAAGGTTTGAGAATTATTAATATTTATTTAAAGTGTAACTAATATTTTAAGACAAGTGAAGTATTTTGAAAACTTATTGATTTTCGAACTATATAAATTATAAAAATTATTTTTGATAAATTATATTATTTTACGGGGTTGAGTGAGTCTTACCATAAAGCTAATTTTTGTTCCGTTCTCTTTGTTTTGTTTTATGCACCTTATTTGTGCATATGATGATGTTATGCTTGATAACGAGATCTGCGTTCGATCACGTAGTTTATTACTCCCTCCATCCAGGAAAATTCTTCCCGATTTGACTTGGATCGGAGTTTAAGAAAGTGTGAATAAAGTGGAAATGTATGGTTGTGGTTGAATAAGAAAAAGGTAAATGAGTGGTAGCCATACAAACCTTTCCAAAAAGGGAAATAGGAAGAATTTTTTGGGACATCCCAAAAAGGTAAGTGGGAAGAATGTTTTGGGACGGAGGTAGTATTATTTTATCACTCGATCAATTAAATTGTTCAGATTTGAGAACTTGTAGACAATTAAATTGTTTTTGAAATTTTCAGCACATAAGTACTTGGATTATTTTTAATTTGTTGTGGTTTAGCATGTACATTCGGTTAAGAGATAACCGGATGTGGCGGTAACATCCAATAACTATTTTTATTCCGCTTGAATTTAAACTATTTTGAACTCCAATGTTTTTTGGAAATTCTTTCTAAACTTGCTATTCTTAGCATCTACTTTGAGTATGAATTTGGGGTGTTTCAAAAATCTTGAAAGATGAGTTCAGACATGAACTAGGAGAACCGGATGAGCATATCGGCGGCGATATCCATGCGGTGAAGCAAAATGAAGTACCCAAGAGATGAAAAACAAACGACCAGCGACGAATAGGCTTAGAGAGACAATGGCGACGGAGGTTAGATGTTGTGAACAAAAGGGGCAGAGGCCTTGAAGGAAAAAAAATACATGGGGGGAGGGGGGGGGGGGGGGGGAGAAGGTGGACTATCTTAAAGGATTGTCGAATTTGAAATGGTGAGCGGCGATTGAGTGTAGAGAATGTGAATTTGCTTACCAAGAAAATGCAGAAGGAAAGTCTCGTACCAGACACAAAAAAGAAAATGAATAAGTAAAAGAAAAAGGTGGGAGATAATTGAGTGCAGAGAATGTGAAGTTGCTTACCAAGAAGATGCCGAAGGAGGATTTCATACCAAACACAAAAAGGAAAATGAATAAGTAACAAAAAAGGGTAAAGGCTCAAAAGATAAACTAAAAAAATTTAAAATAATAAAAATGCCACATGGAAAGTCCACACGGGTTTACAAATATCTACATATGCTTCCACATCAATGACTAACTTGTTTAGCGTTGGGTGACCGCCTAAATGACAATTTGAGTATTTTTTAGAACTAGATAGACCTAATTGGGTGATTTATAAGTGCGAGAAATTAATCCAAGAATTGATGATAGTAGAGTCTAATTAATATTTTCTCACAATAAAAAATCACTGATCTATGATTTAATTAAGGAAAATTTCACACTAATAATCCAACCTATTGCCCGTCTTCTATTATTAATCCACCGTACGTGTTATTCTGAAATAATACCAATTAAGGGGTTAATCTTCCACCTTCACTCTGAGGGCACTGGCAACCGGCTAACCAAGTAACTAATTTTTAAAATTTGGATGACAAACAACAACGGTCTCATCCTCCACCCCATGTACGCAACCTCCATCCCAGAAATTGAAGTCCCGTCTGGAAGCTGAGAGCGCCACCCTCACCGGTAAGTTGAGAATCCCGTCTGAAGTCCCGCTGCAGACGTTCAACCAAAATGGTAAGTTTCTTTTTCTTTAATTTTGAGTATTGTTGTAGTTATTGTTCACGTATTATCTTGTGGGACGAAAATTATGTTTCTTTCCGTTTACATGATTTTTAAGGTTTTATTGTGTTAATTGATTTCGTTTGTTAAGGTTTTTAATCTATGATATTAACCCTTCACATAGGTTACAGAGGATTCCCGTGTTAGTCTGCGCATATGGCATGGGGGAATGTTTAAGAAGAACACAATGGGAAAACTAGAATATGTGGGAGGTGAATCTAGGGCGTTTGTGGGTTTTGGTTAGAAGAGTTGGCCAAGAAGTGTGGGGATTACTCTACAATAGATGAAATTTACTACTTTGTTTCCAATCATAGCTATGAAGAGGGTTTGAAAAGGGCTTATCATGATGAACAAGCGAGTGACTTGATAACACTAGTGTTAAAGAACAGATGCATAGACTGTTATGCCATTCATGGCATTGACGTTCCGGATTTAATTGAAGCAATTGTGCCCATGGCGGTAATGGTTGATATTTTTTTTGTTGTAGGTACCCCAAGGATTTGGTGTGTTCATTTGATGATAATGGCAACTCATTTGTTAATGTGAGGATGATGGGTTTGAATTAGACATTTATAAGAATTTAGAATGTAATTTTATTGAATGAAATTGTTTGATTGTTTGTAGGACCCTGGTCAAGTTGGAGGTTCACAAATAATTTCAGGGGCTGCCTGTCCTCCTTCAAATAATGCCACAACATAAAGATGCATTTTGATGTTTGGGTTGGAGTTTTATGTACTATGTTTTATGATCTGTCATATTATGTATTTTCTGGGATGATGTAATTTGGATGATATGTTTGTTTGTTGTTGTATTTGGATGATCTGTGTATTTTGGATGATTATGTACTTCACATCAGTTACATGATGTATTTGGATGATTATTTTGGAGGATTTCAGTTCAATTTTATTTAGTTAGAGTAAGGCATATGAAGCTGTAGTTTTGTTTTGAGAGTACAAACCATAATGATTCACACATTTTTAAACACATATTTGAGATTCCAAACATAAATTTCATACACTTCAAATCCAAGGGTACAAATAACACATTGTTATAACCTCAACAAGTACATTACCAGCATCTAAACACTTCTATGTTTCACTTCAAATAACTTAAAATAGCAAAAACAATCCAAGATACAAGTACAACCATAATAGCATATTTTTCTCCTTCTGCACTTTTGGTAGCCATCATATGTGCTTCACTTATCAAAACCCTCATCTTCTTGTTCTTGTTCTTCAGTTTTTGCACTTTTTCTTCCAACTTCTTCTTGTCTCCCAACAACTTCTCAATGACTATGTCTTTGTCCTCCATTTTGTAGTCATCATAACTCAACTCATTGTCATTATACCATTTGAAGTACCTACAATCTGCACTCTGAACGCACCATACCACAAATTATACAAGCCACACCTCATTAACGTAATGTGCACATCACAAAGCCTAAATATACCTTTCACAAACTAAACCAACCCAATTTATAGTTCAATAAAAAAATTTGACCTACCACTTTTACCTTATCCATCATGCTATGAAAAGCGTAAATTCAGCCAAACATGGTCTCCATGTTGTGATGACATTTAGGCCCGACTACACCTGTACTTGAGTTCCAAGACGACGACCCACACACAGACTTCATGTTTCCCTTATCCGACCGTCGCGTTAACCTTCTAGGTTTCCTCCTTCGTCGTTCTTTCTTAGTGCGTTTAGAATAGCATACAAGCCTCACACTTATGGATAAAACTTAGACACGTGCGGTCACGTGACTATTATTAACCGACTAACACTTGGGTTCTAGGTTAACAGAGTGAAGGTGAAAGATTAACCCCTTAATTGATATTATTTCAGAATAACACGTACGACAGATTAATAATAGAAGACGGGCAATAGATTGGATTATTAGTGTGAATTTTTCCTTAAAACAAGGAGCACTTAAGTTCGTCTACTTACCGGGTGGGTCTTTACCCTAAAGCGGTTAGAACGCTCGCGGACGGCTCAACCCAAACCAAATCATAATTAGCCATGAGCGAGCTGCCGAGCGCTGCATTACCTGCGATCTTTACCGGACCTTGACGGTTATGGTTCAGCCCTGCCCACTTTTCATGGCGATGGACTCCGACCCGACCCAAACCCTTAAATCATCAGCATCCAAGCTCCCCATCAAGCGCAGAACGCCTCCCCACTCTTTCACCTCCTCCACTCCCGATTCCCCGACCGCCGTGCATGACGGGTCTCACGGCGACGACCCGAACCCCCCACCCTTCAAGTTTCATCGGATATGGACCGAGTCCGACGAGATCCGGTTCCTACAGGGTCTTCTCGACTGCACCGCCGAGAATCTTTCCTTTCCTCGGGACATCAACGTCTTCTACGCTCGATTCTCCTCGACTATGTCGCAGCCATACACTAAAACTCAGCTCTCCGAGAAGCTTCGCCGTCTCCGTAAGAAATTCAGGGTAATCTCGGCTCGCCTGACCAAGGGGCGCGATGTATCCCAACTGTCGCCCCATGATCGGAATCTTTATGACATCTCGAAGCAGCTATGGCACCCGGATTTTGCGTCCTCGTCTCCGTTTAGCTACAATAGCGTTGATAAGACTAAGAAGTCAAGCTTGGAATCTGATCACACGGTAATCGAGGATGCCATCAAAGTGGTTAATGATGGAATTGAGTTGGCTGATTTTGGGCTTGATGGAGATCTGAAGCTGAAACAGGTAAATGTGGAGTTGGACTGTGATGTAGGAAAGGCTGTAGCAAACATGGTGGTGGATGTGTTTGATAAATGTCTGAAAGAGCTTAGGAAAGGAATTGATAGAGAAAATTTCAGTCTTGATTGCTGTTTTAAACAGGGGAGTGTGGAAAGCTTTGAGGAGCGATGGACGAAACAAAGAGTTGCAGAATTGGATGTTTTGTCAAAACGAATGAGGTTGGTGATAGAGCATTCTCGTCATATGCAATGAGTAATTATAAAACCCTTGTGGATACACTTTGTGTAGTTTTATTTTATTAAAAAACAAAAACCGCCTGTTTTTGTTTTGTAAATTTCTCATAGAAGGAAATGCATATTGCTTGATTAATAGGTTAACTTGTCATTTTGTTGAAGGTTTACTATGCATTTATACAATTTGTATTAATGAAGAACTCTAGAAAAAAGTTTAGTTAATTACATGATCTGATTGTTTGACTAGTTCTTGGCATGTTTGGTTCAAGGGTTTTTGTAGGAGAGGGCAGGCAAAGTTCTCCTCCACCTCATTTGGTTTTAAAAAATGAGATCCATTTGCCTAGCCCCAAGTCAATATTTTGTTTTTATTTTTGTTGGGAAGGGGAGGGCTAAAAACCATTTCTTTCCGCTCCTCTGTAACCAAACCAAATAAGGTAACATGAAAAACTCCCTCCTGACTGCCTTCCTTCCTGTCCCCTCCCTATGTTTTTGCCAAACAATAGGCATTATATGTGTTCAGAGGGAATAAACCAAGGGAATGGTTATGATATATGAAGGGGAAGCAATGTTTTGTCATGCACACTTTTCTAAAATCTAATTAGTAGGAAAGTTGCAGTTCAAGAATCATTCCTAAAGAACAGGGTCGGGGCAGCTTATTGCCTTATTATGGGACGAGTGAAGATAAGAGAGGTAATATACTATTGGCATATTACGTCGTACATGTTTAGTTCACGCTGGCTTACAAACTTTTTGAAACAAATTTACTCTCCTCATCAACGGTTGCCCATGTTTTGGAAGGTATGTGAATATGTGATGTCAACCCAATTCTTAGGTTAGACGATATGGCACTGTAGGAGTTTAGGGTTTCTTCAGTTTGTTTGGCATTTTTAGTTTTTAAGATTAAAGGAATAAAACTATTTGTGAATGTTATTTAATAGTAATTATATTATCATTACATCTATCACAGGATATATTGCAAAGTAGAACTGGTTGAACTTCACTGTAGCAGCCAGATCACTGGTAGTCTACTACTGCAAATTTGATACTACAACCCCAATAATCGTTTTATGAAGCTTTTATCTTCAGATGTCTAATTTCGTCCTGAGAAGGTGTATTTGTAAAACCATCTTTTGTCAATAGCTAAAAGTATTAATGTAAAATATATTTTGCGCTATACAAGAAAGCCCCTCAAAAAGTTCATATCACATTCCTGAATTCCTTTACAATTTACATTCATGCACTTTTAACCAAGCTCAAATTGCAGCACATTTGAGCATTCTAATGTTCGTTAAGGGTACATTTAGTTCAGATAACCTGAGATCGGCTCGGTCATATTAGGTAGTGTCAGATTATCGTTTTTAATATGAGATTAACGTGTTTGGAAAGTGATGTAGTATTGAGGTAATGTGATTTTTCGGTTTCTCAGGTATTATGAGCTTACTTTGTTAGAATGTCTTGTTTGGCCTTTTTCAGGGATTGTTGTGTTTGATTTAAAATCAATACATCTTTTAATCTTTTATTATTCGAGCCAAACACATAAGGCAATATTGTTTTTGGAAGATATAAGGTAACATTAGTTTCCTGTAAGCACACATTAAATTCCTGAATGTGATCTTACATTACTTTAGGTAACCATACATTTCCCGAGCCAAAATCCATCAAGTAAAGTGACATTATTTGCAGTAATTTAGCAAATATATGAAGCAAGCTAAGTTGACATTGCACAGATCATCACCTGGTATTTTAGCTACTGTTACAAGTACACTTAAATGATCCCATTATGTAAAGCTTGTAAAGGCACATTGTTGCGCAGTGTACTTAAATGATATCATCAAGTAGTTTACTCTTTTGCCACATTAGAAGCAAATGACATAATGGGTACTTAATGCGAAATTTTTTAGTACAAGTTTTTGTGAATAGTTAATTACATAATTCTTCAAAAGGATTGCTCTCTTTGTGAACTACCGTTTCAAAGTAAATTAGAATCTTTGCATACTACTGCAGTGCAGTTTACTGGAGGTTAAATTATGTCTTTAATTTTGAAGTGACTTGTTATTGACTGAACTCTAATTCGTCTGTTGAAGATGTAGCTGGATATTTTACATTAGTGGTATGAGAGTGCGGCCGTAGGTAAATTCTTTGATACTCCGTATAAAATAGGCTAACATTCTAAGTTTAATTAGTTGTTGAAGAAAATTCAACTTAAATTTTCACTATTGCTGAATGAAAATAACATTTTCCATTCGCAATAACATAGTCAAATGATGATGAACTGATGACTCATTATTATTACCATCAGGTAATATTAATATCAATGTCACTATTATTATTATTATTATTATTATTATTATTATTCTTAATACTTATGGTAACATTTTCATGCTAAATTTTACTTACGTAGTATTATGTTGTAATTTATATGCGAATGGTTTATTCAAATAATAAAAAACTTTACACATAAAAACATACTTTGTTTCATTATATAATAGATTTTGCTTTGTTAATATTGTTTTAGTATCATTATATAGAGTATTATTTTATGAAATATTTCCATACACCATACACTACAAGAATTTGCGGATTTTAGTGACGAAAACTTTGTCAAAGAATCTGTCACTAACATAGGTAATGAGCTTATTAGTGACAAAACTTTTGCCATTGAAATCGCGCTGCTAAATCCTCAGCGCCGAAATTTTATTTCTGTCACAAATGGAAGACGGAACTCACGGAAGTTAGCGACCACACATTCTGCCACTAATATTAGTGACAAATATTTCGTCATTAAATACCGCCAGAAAATAGTTAAATTAAAAACAAATAAAGAAATACTTTGCTCCATTTCAATATTTTTATGCCATTAAATTTTTTAAAAGTTAATATGTCAAATGTCAATTATATAACAACACAATGTACATAAGGCATTATAACTAAAACATTAATAATTAAGCAAAGATAAGTAGGCAAGAACTTGATACATGCTCCACTAAAGTCATACTTGAGTCAATGAGGTAGCAAATATCGTTTAACACTCAATACTAAAAGTCATTGTACCATAACTACAAGCCTTACTACAATCCAAAAATTAAATACATCCAAAATACTTGCATATCTATTGGAAAATAACTAATGCTAAGAGTTTCGGGAGTCTTGAGATGATGTTGAATTAGTAAACTCAAAACAACTTGGTACTTCCATTCCAAGTGATTTCAAAAATGGAAGCCATGTTTCCTCAAAAGATTTTGGTTGTGAACAAGGATCTTCATGTAGCAAACTTTCATCCACAAGTGGCATTACCGGTGGGCATTCCTCGCCTAATGAAGATAACCATTTCCGCATATATTCATCCCAAAAAATACAAAATTCAAGTGCACGTTGTGAAGATAAAGAAGTCTTTCGGTGAGTTGATTGGAGTTGATGAAGGAATTCTTCTGCATACTTTCCTAGTCCAAATATTTTTTTGTTCTTGCATCCAGCAATTTCCAAATATTTGGAATGCAAATCAGGAAATGCAGCTTTGGATGCATTCTTGGAGCCTCCAATTTCAGCTTGAGATTGTTGAGTTTGTTGTATGTGTTCTTTAAATGCAGCAGATAAACCAGCCCATTTGAATTATGGGTCTCTCCGTGTGCTCCCCATACATAGTAGTCTTCAACAAATCCTTTTTCAAATAGATGTTGCCTAACAATATCCCAAGTCAACAATTTTCTGTTCTTGCACTTTCTACATGGACATGCAATAACGCCACTTGGATATAAGTTTACCGCCGCTTGAATAAACTCATTGACTCCTTTTTTGAAGTCTTCATTTAGAAACCCTCCATTTGCGAGCCTTTCATACATCCAAGACCTATTATTGCTCATTTTGACATCTGAACATATATAACCATATGACATATTATTTCTTCACCTCACATAGTAAACTAAATTAATTTTACGAGTTTTCAGAACCTCACGTAGTAGATAACAACTTCAATTATTTATCTTTCGATTAATATAAAAATAAATAATAACCAACAATGTTTAATTTTATTATATATAGTACTTAATTTTCTTTGAAATTTTCCTACAAATTAAAAAACCAACAACAAAAACACGTACAAGTACATATTATAATATTAATTAAACATGGAGTCATTAGCATTTTTGCATCTACATCGACCAAGCACACATACGTTCATTTTTCTTCATAAACTAATCATTTTTCCCCATCAAGTGTAGGAAACTATATATATTTGGATGTTATAGAAAAATATATACACTATAATATAGCAGCACTAATACATATAATCCACCCCTCCTTCTCCTTTCAAGGCTTCTTGAAGAACAAAAATGTCTCACTTTAGTTCATATAAATCAATCATATAATAATAGAAGAGGCTAATAAATTAAAGAATGTAATAATAAGTCTAATTTACTTAACTAGTAATAAGCTCAAAATAAAGACATATAAACTACAATTTAATTAAGAAAAGATAAATTTCTTACCTCTAATTTCGTATGGACATGGAAGAATAGATCTGGTAGAGAAAGAAAGTGTGGTTGATGAGATATGTGTGCAAAATGATTTTGGTTGGTGAGCAGAATTTAATATATCTCATTTAGTGACAGAATTTAGTGGCGGACTAATTCCACCAATATTCCGTGACAAGATTTTCAGCCACAAAAATCTGTCGGAAATTACTGTCTAATATCGATCCGTAACTACGTCTGTCACTAAAGTGCGACAAAAATTCCTGTCGGATGGTATTCCATCACTAACTTCTGTCACAATTTTCCAGAATTCTTGTAGTGATATATTGATCCAAAAAAGGTGGAATCTCCCACCCCAGGAGCCCCCACCCCGACCCGATAGGATGGTGGGGAAATTAGTCACGGTACGCACCAGAGGCCCAGCCTTATTTCAGGTTCTGTGACCTCCACCCAGTCGCTGCGGGGATTCAAACCTTGGTCCATTGATCCAAATCTCCCACCACTCGACCAATTGAGCTACCCGTGCGGGTAAATATTTCCATATATATTACTACAACAAATATGGTTTATAAAAATGGAACTTCTTAAATGTAGTGACTATAGTTTCATAGTAATTTATGTACAATTTATACAATTAAAAGACTATGAGATAATATTGTAGTAATCATTAGACATATTTTTATAAATAAGTTTACTTCAGTAATATTTTTTTAAAAAAATATTAGTGAAAAGAGTGAACTCAGAAGTCTAGTGACAATAGCAGTAACTTTGGTTATTCAAATTTTACACTTTAAATTATACTACGTACTATAGTAACGTTTAATCATATTTTTGCAAATAAATTTAATTAGAGTCATATGATTGGTCTGAAACGAGTCAAACAAGTATTTTCATAAATTTTACAATCACAACAACTTGTTCGAATTTTCATAATATTCCTTCGTTTGCTCGCCCAATATAAATAATTTCAACAATTGCTCACCCAATATGAATAATTTGAACAATTGGCCTTCCAAGAGAAAACACGTAGTATATATATTGGGCGAGTAATTTAAAGCATGTATGATACTACGCTGAAATGGTTTGAAACGAGTTAAATAATTGAATTGGATGTTTTTGTTGATTATTGAAAAAATTTTTAGCATATGTTTAATAATAAAAGAAATTATACCAAGTATAAAAATGGTTACAATAATTCTCTACATTAAGTTCAACAATTTAAGTGAGAAAAACAACTCTAATGTTATTTATTTTGATGTTTACTCGTATAATTTATACTCCCTCCGATTCCTAAACAAGTTTCACATTTGACTTCACATATATTAAGAAAATAAATTTGACTTTACTGTGGAGTGCACTGTTTAGTACTGTTTGAACACTGTTTGACACTGTTTGACATTGTTTTGATGTAGATAATAAGAAAATGTTTGAAAGTGGAACTTAATTTTGAATCTGCCCGAAAAAGAAAGGTGGAACTTGTTTCAGAAACGGAGGGAGTACTCTCTATGTTCCATAAAATTTGGCAAAATTTTCCCTTTTTTATGTTTCAAAAAATTTTGTCATTTCCATTTGAAGTAGCAAGTATATGGTTAAAATTATTTCTCTCTCTTCTGCATAAATATCAACCATACATTTTTTACTTTATTATTCTACGTGGGACAAAGGGAGTATCATTTTTGCTATTTTTCATACTCCGTATATTTTTTCTTTATTTTATTAATAAAATACAGAATATATTTTAATGTTTTTCATAAGTCAATGGAATCGGCCATTCGGCCAATTCAACCGCTTGATAGCTTGATAATGGGGATTATCACTAATTTCATTGATAGAGCAAATAAGAGAGTACCGGCAAGTACCAACCGTACAATTATCCAAAGTCCAAACCGTGCCCATCGGAAATGGGCCATTGACAAAATATACTCGTATCATTATAACGAAAATGGCCTATTTTGACTTTAATCACCAGAAAATCCGTCGGAGCATCATTATCATCATTAATAAATAAAACAAACAAATCCAAAACAGAAACAAATCCAAAACAGAAGCCGGCTCGAAGCCGGTCTCGCTATCAGAGCCCAGCGGATCCACCGCGTCATCGATCCCCGTGACCCAACAATGATTGATCACCAACCGTCACTTCCAAGCCTCCAAACCTTCCTCAACCGTTCGTTCGTTCTACATAGATCCAGAACTTCTCTGTTTTTTTAATCTCCCATCATTTATTCTGTACTTCTCAAGCTGACACTGCTCTTAAATCCAGTGGGGACTCCAAAAGAAGCCTTCTTCCTCTTCCTCCTCTTTCTCTGCTCTGTCTTTCTGTTTCTGCTGTACGATTTTCTTGTCCATGGCGTTTGAACCGGTCAACAAGCTCCCTTCTGACCTTGACTACCCTCAGGTACTCGATCCCTTGTCTTCTCGTTCCTTCCAAATTTCGAAGATGGGAAAATCAGATCTGATTTAATTTTTGTGTTTTGTCCGGTTCAGGTGATAATTGAAGCTCTGGATGCTTTGAATCAAGAGGAAGGGTCAAACAAGACAGCAATCACCAAGTACATAGAAAGCAAGTATGGGGAAATGAGTGGCGAGGACTCAAAGCTGCTGGTTTACCACTTGGACAGAATGAAGCAGAGTGGTGAGCTGATCTTCTTGAAGAACAATTACATCAAGGCTGGGCCTGGGGTCCCACCCAAGCGCGGCCGCGGCCGCCCAAGGAAAGACCCTAATGCCCCCCCATCAGCGAAGAAGCCTAAGCCTCTGGCTCCTTCCACCGCCCCCAAAACCGGCAGGCCGAGGGGTAGGCCGAGGAAGGTGACCCCCCAACCTCCATCTGAGAATGCAGTTGAAATGAGCTGAAGTTGAAGGTCACTTTATCTAATGTCCTCTTGATTACTGTGTACTTTAATTAATTAATTGTAGGATTGTATGTGTGATTATCTGAGTATGTACAAGGAGTTGCATTGTAGGTTAGGGGTTATGCACTTGTCTTGCTCCTTGGGAGCCCCTTAATTGTAGGGATGTTGTGTCTTAATGTTTAATCCTTTTTAGAATGAAATGCTGACATTATGTCTCCTCATCCTTCTAGTGTAGAGTTAAGATTTGGGTTCATCTCATTCTCTCAGGATGCTACTCTCAAGTAGGATTTATTGGGTTTGGTCTATGATATCCAACCTTGTGTACTAATACAGTAATTTGATACTTAGATTTGTAGTACTACGTATTATTAATCACTTCTTTGGGTTCTTTTTCACTATTTATTTCTGTAACTAACAAACATTATTTAATACTAGGTATATCCGATTCTATATACTCCGCATGCCCGTCCCTGAAAAATTGGAGGCCCTATTCAAAATAAAATTAGAGATCATAATATTTTATACAAAAATGCTAATAATACAATATAAAAAATATCAAATTTTACAAAATGCAATTCTACTTAATGAAGTAAACACCAAGATTATCAAAATTACATTCAAAACTTTAACTTTAAATACACCTATTTAAACAATGCTATCTTTCTACGATTTTTTGAAATAAAATCTTTAATGATGTCTTGATATGCAATTTTCTCAACTAGATCACTCTCAATTGCTACTAAAACTAATTCATTGAGCGTTTCTTGTGTCATTGAAGATCCCAAGTAAGACTTCAACTAGACAACTATAATTTATAGAATGTAAAACCGTAAGAGAAATAAGGAATTCAAAGAAGAGCAATAACGTTGTCTAGTTGAAAAAAAGATGGGAATACAGGCAATAAGCAAAAGCAAAAAATCAATTGAAGATTGAAGAACACCATGAACAATCTGTGCCCCTTGCTAGGAGTGCTAGACAAGTAGACTGCTAGTGCAGTTCTTTTGAAAAATAAAAGATTGTTGGCTAATTTGGCTGGCACTCGAAACAGAAGAAGAATGAATTGAGGACTTTTTTCGCGTGATAATGCTTATTAAATAAATAATTCTCAAAATACAGCTAGGTTTAAAATAATTCTCAAAATACTGCCGGGTTCACCGTGGTTAAGAAAAGCCGCCACTTGAAGTGGCGGTTCTTCTCTTATAGTACAAAAGCCGTCACTCCAAGTGGCGGCTTTTTTCTTACGCACATTTTGTACATAGTACATATATAAAACATCAAAAATGATGTTTGTACACACTCTTATACACACTTTTGTACACACCTATGTCTGTGAAAGCTTTTTTTTTGTCTGTGAATATCGATTCACAGACAATGTTTTGCACAAACAAAATATTGTCTGTGAACCGGGTTCACAGACAAAAAAAAACCTTCACAAACATGGTGTGTATAAGGTGTGTACAAGAGTGTGTACATCAAGCATGGTTGATAAAACATAGTATGTTTCAAGAATTTGTTTAACTGCCATCTCGATTGAATTTTGAGCTGAAATTTGGTATGCATAAACTAGACTTGATGATGAACATGCTCAAACAATTTAATCAAAAAATTTCACCGGAAACACCCTCTGATGGTATTGTCCGTAGGGGTTTCCGGTCACGACGTCATGACAAAAGGGTGGTCGAGCCACCTCAATTTGAGGTGGTTCCCGGTGGGATGTTTTGTTGAATTTTTGTGTGTATGTTATTCATCAAGTCTAGTTAATCCATTCAAAACTAATTTCAATCGGGAAAGAAGTCAAATGATTTTTTAAAGATAACTGCATTTTATATGTATAATCCGGCATAGTTATCTTTCAAAAATCATTTGATGGCCTTTCAGATTTAATGTTTTTCTCAAATTTGGTATGGATAAACTAGACTTTATGAAGAACATACACAAAAAATTTCATCAAACCATACCACCGGGAACCACCCCTAACTGAGGTGACCGGACCACCCTTTTGTCATGACGTCCCGACCGGAACCCCCGCAGACAACACCATCAGAGGGTGTTTCCGGTGGAATTTTTTGATGAATTTTTTTGAGCATGTTCCTCATCAAGTCTAGTTTATGCATACCAAAGTTCAGCTCAAAGTTCAATCGAGAAAGCAGTTAAACAAATTCTTGCGGTTTATATAGGCACAAAATGGACCGTAAGAGAAGAGCCGCCACTTGGAGTGGCGGCTTTTGTACTATAAGAGAAGAATCGCCATTTCAAGTGGTGGGCTTTTCTTAACATGGTTAACCCAGCAGTATTTTGAGAATTATTTTAAACGCAGTAGTATTTTGGGAATTATTTATTTAATTAGCATTATTCCGGGAAAAAAATCTGAATCGAAGCAATTGCTGAATCCAAGGTTCGAAATTGGGTATTGCATAGTCGTGACGTTTTTTTGAATATTGCATATTGCGTAAGCCTCATTGTGGAACGAGGCGTATGCCTGAGGCGTAATATATATATATATATATATATATATATATATATATATATATATATATAAGAAAATGCTATAAAAATTATTTGACTGCTTTCCTGATCAAATTTTGAGCTGAAATTTGGTATGTATAAACTAGACTTGATTAGGAACATGCTCAAAAAATTTCATCAAAAAATTCCGCCGGGAACCGCCCCAAACGGTGGTGTTTGGACGGCGTTCGGACAGAAAATTGCTGGACAAGAGAATGACACACTCTCTCTCTCTATATATATATATATATATAATATTATATATATACATAATAAAAAATAAACATATTTGTCTAAAGTCGTCAAATGTTATATTAAAACAAATCATAAGAGGCCATAGTCCTAGCAAAGTAATATGTTCAAAGTACCATAGATTACCAAAACTTTCTCAATCTTTTATAAAAACAAAATCTTAGATATGAGAATTTAAATTAATTAGATCGATCGACTGAAAAAATCCAATCAATAACTAGTGATTTGAAATAGGGATCATAACATCAATTATAACAATTTAAAAGTGGGCCGGGTAGATCCAAATAATACCCTTACACCCTGACCTTCTCCTATTGCGTACGCCTTAGAGCGCCTTATTGCGTATGCAATATTGCATACGCCTCAGTGCAATATTGCGTACGCCACACTCCCAACGCCATATGCCCATATGCAATGCCTTTTATGCCATAGTTTAGGAATTAGCTAAGACGCGCCATGAGGCGCAATTGCGTTGCGCAATTTCAAACAATGGTTGAATCACTAAATCAAATTAATGGAGTTTGGATGGAATTGGGATATCTGATTTTTCGGATGGTTGGGTGTTTAACGAAAAAAGCCTAACAGTAAAAAAATTAAATTCCATACCGACAACCTTCATTCACCCTAGTCTGCCAAATCATGTCGACCTTCTCGTTGGGCATGCCGCTTCATTTCTCCAAAAAAATGCGTATAAACGAGGAGGCCTTTCCGTCTTCCTAGCGACTTACGGGTACTGATCGATGAGGCAAGCAGACAAGCAGACGCGCTTCACAAATAGGAGGTTGGGCCGCTGGATAAGGTTATTATTTGATAAAAAAGATCCTATTGGGTCTAGTTACGGAGTATAATACTATACTACGAGTATTAAAAACTGGAGGCCCTCTTAGGATTGGGGACTCTGTGCAGGTGCTCCATTTGCACCTGGGCCAGGTCGGGCCTGTTACTCCGTATAAGCTTTTGTCATATTTCAAGTAGCAATTGTATGTAGTTTATACAAATGTAAATTACAAGTATTAATATGAGCTAAGTATTATGAGGAAAAAGTCAACTTTAACTTGAAGTCTGAAACAGGAGCATTAAAAGTCAACTACTAATCCATTTACTTGGGTGCTCCAGGTATGAATTAAGCCCTATGTGATAACATTAATAAGGGTTTGTTAAAGAAAAAAGTTGAATAATGAGATCAAATAGTTTTTGACTTGCTTGATTTAAATCAGTTTTACTAAACAACAGTATTATTAATTACTCCCTCCGTCCCCCTAATATTGGTACGGAAGAGAGTGGTGTGAATTTAAAGAAAAGTAGAATTACGTTGTTGGTAATGAGTTGATAAAGTGGAAATAAACGATAAAGTATTAGCATTGGTACCATAGGATTGTTGTAGGAAATTTGGCCGGATAAATCTGCAAAAAAGCGTTAGAAAATAATATAGCTCGAGTCACGTGAACGCTGTCCTCAAGAAAGTATTTCCGACTAGCGAAAACCTTTCCCCAAGATAAAACGAGCTATTCGGCTTACGCCGGTAACAGAACAACGAGAGTAGAGTAAAATTAATCCAGCAGAGTTGTAATCTATAAGGGGATGTTTTAGCTCAAAATTGTATGTCTTACACAGCTGGCCGAAGGCACGCACACACACATATATATCCATACAAATGATAAATGTTGCTGGCCAGATATATTAGTTCGTAGAGTGACGTGCACTCGTCGTTAGGTGCACTCAAAATAAATAATCAATACAACACTAATACGTAGTATAGTGTAGTAAGGTTCGTATCCATAGGGAAAGGAATACTTTTCTTTTATATAAATAATAACAAGGGGGGTTTAGATTTGTTTGGTTTAATAACACTAAGATAAACGACCTATATGAGTTTAATTCAATGAGATGGGGACTTGGTTTTGCTTTTATCCACTTAATGAAATGTTCGTCGATCCCGGTTATATCTTTAACTATCTTCCTCTCGAATACTCAATCGAGGAGTATATCCAGTTCATCGAGGGTAGTTATTAATAACGAGTCAATATAGAACAAGCGCCGTATATTAACTTGATAGTAGCAATAAACTTAAGATGAAAACGATTGAGATTGATAACCTCAACACAAGCGGTTTATTGGTTTAATCAATATAATTAATTCCCCTTGGCATATTAACCATGAGATGCATGCATTAATATTCCAAGTTTACTACCGTTGAAAGAACCGGATTAATAACAAGCGTATTAACCGATTGATTCTAGTAATAATTAATATGAGAAACAATACTAGTTGATACTTTAAGTAATGTTTAAGATATTAACATGAAATATGAATAGGAATTAATCAATACTCAAGGAAGAATATTAAAATATATGAATCCTACTATGATTAATATCAAGATGTTAACTAATTGTCATCTTAGCAACACTCCCCAATATAATCATAGAGGAAGAAATAGCTATTACTATAACCAATGTCAAGATGTTAACTAATTGTCATCTTAGTAACACTCCCCAACTTTGATATAGAGATAGTATTTTGAAAGAAAGAATTAATATTCAAGGAAGAAGATTAAAGAAAATAACTCACAACTTACAAATTCATTAAGCTTCAAAGTAGCAAAACCAAGATGGAAGAGTTTAGCTC